TTCCTATCAAGCCAGCTTTTTCCCTAGTCTGGGGTTTTAAGCTGGGATCTCACGAATGTCCATTCTTGCCTCTATGTTTTAAGTACAACATTACTGCATAAACTGCGTCTCTAACAACAAGTAAATGAGATACGGTCTCCGTCCATAATATCGACCGTCATTTGGTTATGTAGGAGTACAGAAATTGATCTCTGTGATACTCTCATTATTTTGTATGTTTCTCTAATCCTAATCTTGGTTCTCCGTGTTCTTTTTGCTTTTTCTCTTTCCAGTTGACTCCCTTTTGTTCTGTTCATGGATTGGCTGTCGTGAATTACCTTGAGTATTTGGCATGTTTTCACACTTATGTCCAATTTTGAGTGTCCAGCATAGTGTTTGATTGAGTCAATGTGTCCAGCCCCGTGTTGCATGTGTGTTGTGGCCTGTGGGTGTGTGTTCCATGTAGGGCGCTGGTGTATGTGTGTCCACTATTGAACTGTTTACAATTCTGGGCTGGGAGAAACTCATTGGTGGGTGAGAAATCCGTTACCTGCGGTTACAATCGTATGCCGGCCGGGCGCAGATTGTACTTAACAGTTCCCAGCACACACACCAGTTTGAGCATCATCCGACATACAAGAGTGATGTGAAGAGTGATAAGGGAAATGGAAAAGGAAGAGAGAACATGGTTGAGGAGAAATCTATGAGAGAATTGCTCCCTCACCTAAGGTGCTGCCCCAGGCAGAGAGAGAGAAGAAATGAGAGTGAGAAAGAATTGTAAGGGGGTGGATGGGCGATGAGAGTGGCAAAGACAGAATGAATTAGTAACTGAGGTATTCCCTTCACCCTGGAAGAAAAACACAGGGGTGTAGGGAGAGGTAGAGGCACCCAGGGATGCTGTGAAAAGGCAAAGAAAACCAAAGAGAAAAGAGGATTTGAAAGATTCTGGAGAGCGCTTTGGGGAGAGAAAGCGAGAATGAATCGGGTGAAAAAAAGAAATGACGAGGATGGTAAGAAGGAACACGGGCCAAATGATTACGGATTGGAATGATGCACGAAGAGACCCTTGGGTGAAACCGAGAAATGTGTGAGCAGATGGGTTGATTTGAGAATTGGGGGGGGGGGGGAAGTGAGGGTATACCCAGATGTAAGAAATAGAGAGCAGGGCGACAAGTGATGAGGGGTGGAGCGGTGAAAGGATGGGCATCACTAGAGACAGAGAACGACAAAGTCAAAATGGTTGTTAGCCGAGGTCAAGGAGCACAATCGCCACCTTTAAACACTTCTACCATAATACCTTGTTTTTGCTGCATTTACTTTTCTTGCTACGTCATCACTTTTCCACTGCTCCCTTCACTTTGTTTCTTTTCTTACTTCAGCCTTTCCACTCTTCCTGTCCAAGGGCATTAGCACAACCTGTCATGTTATTTCATGTTAACTTTCGAAAACAATGTCAATCTTCGTGAACTTGACCACACATTCTATACTTATTAATAGATTTATCTTCCTTTTCTGTATCCATTCTCTTCTCCACATCCTCAAGCTGCCTTTGCCTATCCTAAAGCTGCATTTGTCTGTCACGCTTTAATGATGCCTGTGTGTAATAGCAGAGCGACTTGTAGGTTTGCTGCTCCATATGTACAGATCAGGCCTAAAGACATTGAATCCCGCCCTTTACAAGCACTGAAAAAGACAGAGGGATGAGGGCAATGAATGCATACTCCCTTTAGCTACAGTAGCATATACATGTATCCTTCCCCCTTAGCCTGACATGGCCTAATCAGCGCGCTAATTAGCACTCTTTGTAACTGTTTCGGCCTCATGTAACTGATGCATTAACAACTGCCACACATCAAACAGTCATGTCTCACGCTCATGCATCTCATTACACATTAAGGACATGCAAGGTTAAGGCCAGACTTTGAGCGATAATAAGAGAAATATTTTCTGCCGGAGCTGGTGGGCAGATAAATGTATTTTTTTCCTCTGTTCCTTCCATATTTTATAGATTTAATGAATTACTGTAGGCGTTGTTCTCAGCTATGGTGATTATTTTTTTGTCCTTTTGTGTAAGTGACGTAATAAGTTAACATGAGTGAAACTGTACTGTCCATATTTATTATTTGTCATTTTTTTCTGCGGGACTGGCAGACGAGGACAAGCACATGCCAAGGAACAATGTTTTAGATCGTGAGTGTTGTAGGGAAATGTATTTAAAAAAAAACATACATAAAGTATGTCAGTTCTGATTAGTATAAGTGACAGATGATTCTTTTGTGCCATTTAGAGTACGTTGCCGTTTAAAGCACCAGTCCGAACCACTGTGCCAAAATGAGAAAAATACTGAGTAGAAGGTTAGCAAAAACTAGCAATAACTCCTTTGAATGATGCATCTTGATCAGCATACACTTGAAAATAAGCGCAGTGGTTTTACAGGCTTTAACTCAAAGCGAAGGCTGGGGGAGGTGGGTGGTCCTCCTCCGATTAGAGGGCGTTAACACTTTTTTTTGATATAAATGTCATGATTTAAAGTAATCTGCACAGTTAAAAAAAACAGCTGTAGTGGACTGTACTGTTTTTGAGTGGAAGGGCACATTTCATTATGCTTTGTCATTGTTGATACCAATGGACAAGTATTGTTTGTACAGTAAAATGACAAAATGCAAACAAAACAAATCAAGGAAGACAAGAAATTCAGAGGTAGTCAAAGTCAAATTGTCATACAAAGAGCAACAGATGAGTAGTTTGCACACAGGGGACCTCACCTATTTGCATTTGCTTTATATAGCAACATTTGTCCCTTTTAGATGAATGTGTTTTAATATAAGTACATACTCCTGTCATCTACAATTAAATCTAAATAACTTTTAATTGGTCTTTTGAAGTGTATTAAACATGCATTATATGAGTGGCTTTTAAACTTTAAATTTCGTATCTTCTTTTATTGTCTGCGTCTACAGAAGAAGCAGAGGACTAAAGAGCTGTCACAACTCTTCCACTCTTACAATCCCTATGACCATAAGGTAAGACATCTTTCAATGTTTGTGTTCCTGCATAACTTCCCTGGTTTACGTTTCTGTATCTGTCTGTTTCAGTTTTCTGTATCTGTCTGTTCTGTCTTGCCTTGAATATGTGCTGGTATTTTTTTGCGTGCAATTTTTTCTGCCAATTTCTTAATGACGAGTGCCCTCAGTATACAGCCTCATTCACCTCTATACCAGAAGCCTTCACTTGACATCAAAAGTGGTTGTAGGTCACCATCACCATATTGTTTTGATGGCTGTGATGAGTTTGTCGTCTATTTAAGATGGATACCTCTTGTCAGAAATCTAGTGGATGAGGGCAACTCAAGTGTTTGTTCCTGATTACATCGTGTGTGTGTGTGTGTGTGTACGTGTGTGTGTACGTGTGTGAGAGATATCATTTTAAGTCAAAGATAAATCTTCTCAACTGTTTCATATGTGTGTATTCCCATATTGTGTGTCTGTGTGTGTATGGACTCATATTAGGAGGTTAACATCTGACAGCAGACTGAACTTGCCCCTCTTTAGGCATGCTTATGATGATGAGATCCTTGTGACAACACTGTTTGTGTTTGTGCCTGAGTGAGTGAGTGAGTGACTTGTATAAAGACGTTCTTTTTCTTTTTTTGCTGTAATCATTTAAATAACACTGGTCAGATATTTTTGCCCAGTGTTTGCGTAGTGCTGTGAACAGTGGTAATTACTTGCCATTATGATGACAAATTAAGGGGAAAATAGTGTACAAGGAAGGCGGCGGAGTTAATGTGTTTTTTTTTTGTTCTTATCTGCAGTGTGAATGTTGTGAACCTGTTGGTGATTGAAGGCTTTCATGTAGGTGTCAAACTGTGTCATTAAACGAAGCTTTAGTTTGGCTATGTTTTTTGGCAGAGTTTATACCTCTAGAGGAGTTTGTGCCTGTGGTGCTGTTATATGTTACACACTAATTAAAAGGATATAAGAAAGATCACGTTTTCATTGTCACAGGCATGGATCTTTTACTCCCACACACTCAAACACACGCACATACAGGCACAGTAATAATAGTATACATGGAACACACATGCACATAAGTGAGTGCATAAACACACACCTAACACAAGCAGGGAATGTGAATTGAGCGAAGTTAGAAGTCTTCATAATACATTAACACGTTTGCATCTAAATTAGATATTTAGTATTTGTGAACATGCTTTCTCCAAAGGACGATTCCTGGAGGAATTTAGAAACCATCTGTGTGACAGTGTACCATATTGAGCCTGTTGTGCTGAGTGTCTCCATCTTACTATATATTACTGAACGCTTAGTTCTGTTATGCCTTTTTGTGCTCCCTGGTTTGTGTGTGTTTTTGTGAAGATGCTAATTCATGAAGGTTTAGATTGTTCAAGGAGTTCAATTATGCTACAGCAAATGTCCTGGAATGCCCCACGAAGCACAAGAAATTGTCCAGGCTTTTATGTAAAACCCAAAAAAGAAACATTTCATAACAAGTTGTCATGGTACACAGGTTCAGTTTCTTAAAATTCTACTGCAGTAAAATCCACTTTTTCAGTTCCCATCTGTATGTATGTGTATTATTTGTGAAAATAGAGGGGGTGAGTGTATCTCAAAAGATAGATTTTGTGTGAAGTACCACTTTAAAGGCACTGCATTGTCTCACCAGATGTAAGACCTCTTAATTCACTCCGAGCCAGTGTGCCGCTTGAGATCCTCAGGGAGGAAGCCCCTGTCCATCCCAAAGTTAAGGCTAAAGATGAAACATGGACCCAGTCACAGCCCCAGACCTTCTAAAATCCCCTCTTCTAGAAGTCAATAGAAATGTAGTCATAAAAAACAGTGTATCCAATTTTTACAACAATGGTATTTTTAATTTGTATTTGTATTTTTACATTCAGCTTTTCTTGTACTATAAAACACATTGTTAACTATGTTGAAACACATTAAGTGGCGTTTAAAATTGCACTGATAAAAACAATGGCTCTTATTATTGCTAAATAACATCATATGTTTTAAATCCTCAGCAGAGTAAAATTTCAACTAATTTACTGATAACCTTGCCTATTTCACTACATTGTAAATACAATGTATCAAACATAATCCCCTCCTGTTATGTGCTATCTGATAGCCCTCATATATAAATAATTTTAACATTTTAAGCAAGTTTCTTATAAATCTTCCATGTAGCTTCACTTACAGCCATGGTTCTGTAGGTCGTATTCTATTCCCATAGATTATGTAGATGCGTACATAAATCACATTGCATTACAAACCCAGATAGCTGTGAGATATGATTTAATGATAATAAATCTAATGTCAAGCATGCTTCCTCCCAGATCAGCCAGGGTTCTGCCTGTCCTTGCCCATGTCCATACACCGTGGAGATGTGGAGGCAAATCAGCTTGTATTAAGCCTATATAGCCGTTAGATAGAAATAAATGAAGTCTGATAATGTCCCTCATTTTACATTAAATTCCCTTGGGTGTCTGGCTTTTCAGCTTACGGTTTATGTAAGGATATTATGTGTTTACTAACACGTGTTTAGGTGTGTGTGTGTGTG